ATTAGTGCCGATCATGGGTTTGTTTAACTGCGGAGGAAGATTTTATCATGTGACTAACTTATCTGATTCATCAGATCGTAACACTTGGTGAACATTTTTGTCTTCAACTTGAAGCAAAATTAAATCTTTTTCGATCATTAATAATTCTGTATCAATAAAAAAAGAAGGCAAACATGCATGTTTTATTGGTGACAATTTAAAGAGTGTGTTGTGAATGGTTAAGAGGAAAAAGAGTCATTCGGATATACAGAGTTTTCCGCGTGGTTACTTGTAAAAATACCCCCTGCCCCGGGTACTATATTTGAACATTATTGATAAAATACCTTATTAATAGTACAAACGGATGATCTTACATAAAACTACAACATTTAGCTTCTCTCGGCACACCATGAACGACGTACCTTATTGACTAGTCGTGGTCTGCGAGGCATATTGTTAATTTGTGTCATGTTAATACATGTTGAAGCCAATACAGATAATGGAGAATCATAATGGGACTAGAAGACAATGATGTAAATGTTAATGATGGAACGGAGAGAGAGAATCTTAGGCGGCGGGAAAGAGCCGTTAGAATGGGAGAGTGATGTGTGATTGTGCATGGTTAACAGGTTGCTGACAAGAGGTTATCTGAAGGTATTCACTATTTATATTGTTTTTTCAAAAAGTGCAACCCGCTTAGCTTCAAACGCTGCAAAAAAATTACGGTGACTTGCATAATACATATAGACAATAGATTTTGATATGGCTTACCAATTGATCAAACTTATCTATAGTAAATTTACATTGTTACGACAAGCGATCGGATGAGTCATGTGATAAAATATTCTTCCGCATCGAACGAAAACCCTTTGCACACGGGAGAACGTATAATTAACTTGGAATATTCGTTCTTGAAGAATCATACGATTATTTGATTAATTTCCGTGATGAATTTTTCGTCACGGTAAAAAAATATGAGGAGCTCGAATCCCATCATTAAAATACACATGCTTAATTATTTGATATTGAAATATTGGACAGATCCTTAAATATTAAATAACGATCTTTGAATCGAATTACTTTCTTTCTTTCATCATTGAAATGTTTAATTAACCGGATATACCTATAACGGCTTATTTTAAGTTGTAAAATATGCGTTGATTAATACGCGAATAGCAGAATGAAAGTCTGTAATTATATTAATATTGTAAACGATTGTTGTTTAATTGGTTTGGAATAGGCAAATGACGTTTATTCCGACTATCGCATATCAATCGAAGATCGCCCTATTTTAAATTAGAATATTTAATTCCTCCCCTTCGATCTGTCGAATAATAATTGCTGTTATTATTATACAGTATCATAGGTACTCTTGTTTGGATATGAGGACTGGAAGTACATCGTATAGGGAGCGAAGAAGTACGCACTTGATAAATAATTAAAATTAGGTCACTTGTAATTTTAGATTCAGTCGTAAAAGCAATCACCGAAATAAGGACAGCTAAATTAAAACATCCCTGTCGGCGAACACGCCTACGCGAAAGATTATTCTCTCACAACCCAGACTGCCGACCGCGACTATATTTATAATTATTAAGATAATTATGTAATAGACAAAGAAAACAATATAAATAGCTCGTTATGGTCTATTTTTTGTCATTGCCTGTCAGCAGTAGCCAGCACCCTTAACACATAACAAATTTCTTTTGATATTGACAATCATTGTGTTTAACAAAAAACTTGATATTAGTCTGGAGAATTGACTTCGTAATGCAGTGGTCTCTGATGAACAATGAGTTTAAAATTAGGTGATGATGTCTCTCGGCATTATTCTTTTTCACTGTTATTTTATATCTGCAAGCCTTACAAATTAAATTTACTATTATTATTATATGCAAACAAAACAAACGGTGATGCATCACCATGTGACCACTTCATATTCATATCATACAATATTTCCAATTATATAAATGTGCAAGCAAAAAATTCTGTTTCTTTAACACACAATTTCCAGTTAAATGTGCAAGAAAAAATTTTTGTATCTCTAACACACAACCTGATTATCATAGATTGCAAATTTTTAAAAATTTCTGTCCAATATGCCTGAGCAAATCCCAAGCTAGCAATAAGAGGTCGCTAATGCATATATATAGTCAAAACAAGCAAGAAAATAGTGAGGTCATAGAATAGCTATTAGTATTACTAGATTAATGAACGCATCGACAGGCTATTTCAGCCCTACAAAATGGTAGACAATGGGATAATTATAATTATGCTCAGTGCGGATATCGCCGCAGTATTGTTGTGTGACAAAGTGAATTTTCACCCGAGAATAAGGAATAAGGCAGTGGTTATTTTCAGACATTACTAATAATTAGAGATTTAGAGTGTCTAAGCATAAAGTTTTGGCCACTTTACATTGGAAGAACTGAACCGCATTCTGTCAACAGTAACAACGTATATTGAATAATTATTTTCATTCCGAAGATTATAAAAATACCACCACTACTTTCTTTTCAAAATGGAGGAAGGCAGTTGCAATGTATACCACTCAAATCAAACAAATGGTAAGCGATTTTAATAAATAGCACACAAGCAATATTATGCGTCAGCACAGTTATCGTATATGTGTATACATTGTAAGATTCCTTTGCTTATATGCCCTGAATCTTTGATAGGAATCGGAACTTCGTCAAACGACCCAGCAACTCAATCAGACAAAGGAAGAATTTCAGCAATATAAACAACGAGCACACATGCACTGTTACAAGAAAAAAATTCAGATACTAATACAACGATAAGCGCTATAACTGATGCAAAGACGTCTGATTTACAAACACAAGTTAAGAAACTGCAGGGAGAACTTAGGTTAGCAATGATATTGTCGTCTGGGTTATGGAAAAAGTATCAAGATTATTGCGTTCCATTGTTCTTAGACCTATGGACAATACAAGAAATATTTTCATTTTATCATCATTTCTGTTTATCTTCTCCCCCCTTCCGCCTGTTTCTTTAATCTCTAATGTTCCTATTTTTCATCGACATTCTAATACTCTAGTCACAAATTATTAGAACTTCGACAAACGCAAGAAAAATTAAAACTTGCCGAGAAAGAACTCTTACGCGTATCCGAACAGAATGTTCGCTTGGAACAGGAGTTGCAAAGATCGCAGCGATCGGCTAGGCAAAACGCCGAATTAGTGGTAATTGTTGAAAAGTGCTTCGGAAGAAAAGGAACATGTTAGAGAAGGTGGGTAATAAAAACATTCGATGATGAATATCCATGTTTTAAGGTGTTGAGCAAACGCGTCAAGTTGAGGTCGTGTGTTTGTATTTTATAAAACGTAGAATTGAGAAAGACTGAGCAGAAGTATGAGGAAAGCATACGAGAGTTTGAAGAGAGGCTTGAAAAGACAACAGGTCAAGTTCAGTCAAATCTTATAAAGCAACAAGATGAGAATGAACACTTACAAGAGATGAATAAGGTGATTTATTGTAATTACATTTGTAAATGTCTACGCAGGCATTATTCCTTAGGGTTTATTTGCCATTTGCGCAAAATATGTTTATTTTAAATGCTGTCAACCCTAATATTCACGCCGAACTCGATTCTTCAACACTTTACATTTCTTTCCTTTTCCCACCCAATGTTTAGCACCTGGACGAAGAACTCACCACCTTCGCGCACAGCTTGCTGAGCGCACTGAACAGTTGAATGAGGCTCAAAAGCAATTGTTATCACGAAAACCACGACCAATTAGTCCGTTGGTGAGGGAAGAAAGACATATAACGCCAAGGACTGAGAGTCAACCAGCCTCACCTTCGATCACGAATAAACGGGCTAGCGGGTCGTATTGTAAGTTTTTTATAGCGAGGGACTAATGGTTTGAAGAGTTGGGTTGTTGCGGGGAGAATTTGGGGGAATTGTTGCTAATTGTTCAAATATACGTTTATCAACACTGACCACAAATTTGTGTTGTATTCGCATGTTCTCTATTTCCATTCTTGTTGCTTCTAGCTTCACTTTCGGACCTCCTTTCGGATACAGAGCCAAAATTGGCTTCTTCCCAAGAGCGTGAAAAAGAACAAGCATTAAAGATTCAACACCTTGCTGAACTTTTGAATGATAGTGAAGCCACAGGGAAACGACTCGAAGAACAGGAAAAATTATTAAAAGAAGAGATTAGGAGAATGGATCGGATGGAAAAAAGACAAGACATGAGTATTGAATATTTGAAGAATGTTGTCTTGAAATTTCTGGAGAGCAGTGCTGGAGAACGGGAGGTAAGAGAAAAGATATAAGGCAATGGGAAGGAGAATGTTTGAAGCAAAATAGGTTGTTATGACATGGTTGAAAAATGATAATGAGAATGAGAGTGTGTCGATTCATGAATTATCAAGCTTGATAGTCGTTAGCAAATGACTGCTGTGGCCATTCAATTAACGATTCTCTATTTCCAACGACGTTTGATCATATCATTTTTCACTTGTTTAGTATCTGGTTCCGTGATATCTACAATTCTTCAATTAAGTCCTGAAGAAGCCAAAAGTCTTAAAGAGAATGCTGTTGACAATGGTCCTGGAAGTCCGGTTATGTTGGGATATGGTGTTTTATGAATGGGAATTTTACTTATGTTGACATGTTACAAAAAGATGTTTTTCAATTATAGACTATCAACGCTAATTATTATTAATTCGATAGAAAGCGATCGTATAAGGCGTTAAGAGAACTGACATTGAGAAACTATAATCAGCTTGAGAGTTTGGAACTTGGATTTTTAATTTAGATATGCATTTTTGTATTAATTTTGAAGTTACAAAATCAGAGGAAACCATGAAAATTAGCGATTAGAAGGAAGAGATATTTTCTGCCGCTCATTTAATGTAAAATTTTTATTTCTCTTTTATGGGAATGCGTAATGAGATTATTCCCATCAACAGATTGTTTTCAGATGCGCTTTCGTGGACGTGAATTTCGATCCCGAAACGTGATATTCTTTAATCAAATTTTCGATTACGTGCATAAATTGTGAATCAGCCGCAGGATCGAAAGCCAGAACGACGTTCACATTTTACGCGGCCAGGATTCTAACAACATTTATTGCCCACATATTGATGACATGAATTACCCATTGCCATACCGACCTATCCCCCACATTTACGATTAAACAAGATTACTGGGCGTAAATTAATACTGAATTTATAGATCAAGAAATTGAAACATGTTAGATAATAATGTTACGAATCTACCTAGAACCGACTTCTATTCAATGAAAAACGTTAAAATTAGGAAATGCAATGTTACCATTTAAAAAAATTGTTAAAGAGTAATTCTGACACGGGTTTCCGATACTTCATGTACGTACACTCCCCTGCCATAAGTGGGAGGAAATTTTGTCGGTGAAATGATTGTCGGCGAAATGAATGCCTCCCACTACTACGACTATTTACTTATTAATATCATTGTATTTATCGTTGTTTGCAATCGTAATCTGCAAAAAAAATATTTTTTTTACACTGTTTATTATTATCAAGTAATCATGTATTCGTATGTTATTCTAAAACAAAATATTATTATAAATTGTACACGAAATTACAAACATTTTTTGTTGATCAGGAGTAACATCGCATTCCAAAATTAAACTTACCAAATGGTGGTAGTTCACAGAGCAGCTTTTGTTTTTTTATTTTTGAACATAGTAATGGGTATAAGCATACGGATATATAAATATGTTAATCGTCAATCGTCAATCGTCACAATGATACAAAATTGGAAATTTTTCTACTTGGTGTTAGGTAATGTGACTATGTGAACAACACTACACACGGCCCGTTATAACAAAGGAAAAAAAGTATCTGTCCAACATTGTGAAAATTGTGTGACAAATTCGAATTAATATAACTAGGCTTATTTCGATTTGGAATGACCCGTTTTCGAAATTGGCCAGGCTGCGATTTGGTCAAAAACAACCACCAGCAGATCCAAGACATAGTATAAATTCGGTGAGTATCGATGATAGGAAAAACAGTCATTACTTAACTTGAGATTCAAATATTCTGCTTCTTAAGCTAACACACAAAGGTCGCACATGCATTTTGTATTATACTTACAAAATCTCATTGTTACGATTATCTTCTCTTTCTTTTAGAGGTTTTGAAAACTGAGCAATGGAGGAACCATTTTTCTTCATATTCTTAACTTGTTTGTTGCCTAACTTATCGGCAAGATTACCACTTTCTGATATGTTTAACTTCGAGGCGAAAGAATATATTCCCTACATCGTCGCCAGTGCGATTCTTTCAACTGCGTTTGTGCCAATACCTCAATTTAGAAGGTTGAGGCAAGGAATCTGTATAACCTTGGAGATATTCGCCTCGTTAATTTTTCCGCCACTATTCTTTTACGCGACGCAAGGCTTCACTAAGCTCACAATCGTTACAATAGCTTTTTGTGGTTCACTCCTCGCTGTCATTATAACAGCGTGGCTAATTTGCACATACACAACAAATACTAATACGCCAATGGCAGTAAATACCATTATGATCTCGATGTTGCTCATAATGGCAATTTTCCCACCTTTATTCGTAGATGCAATGGGAAATTTTAATGATATAATAATCGCTTTTTTAGTTCTGTCTGAAATGTTTATTTTTTTCTTCTTCATAATATTGTTATCTTTTTATTCCAACCCAGTTTTTTACGCATGGTGCACAGGAGCAGCTGCTTTATTGGGGTTTCCGATAAGCATTTACGTTACAGTAATGTTGTTCAAGTTCGTGTGCCATTTTACTTTTATCGTTGTAATGGCAGTTATATGTTTAATGATGAGTTGTTGCGTAAAAGGTACAATTGTTGAAAATAGTACAGATTCCATTATGCGTAAGACTTTTTTCTATACTTCTTTCTATATGTTACAGAATCAAGTCAATTCAATTTCACTTTTACTTTTTTGGGTAGCTCTATGGAGTATGTTATTTTCTGTTTATGTTATCATCGAACGTCATATTGTGAGGGAAGAAATTGAAGAATCAGAAACAGCTACATTAAGGAATAGCACTACAGTTACAACCAGTTATTCTAGTATCAGCAACAATTCAGTTTCTAGTGGTTGGGCTGTGTATGAACTTGTTAACAATTGGTCTGGGCATGTAAGAAGACACATTTATACATGGTGAAGTTATTATTATTATATTAAATTCTCTTTATTTGTTGTTATAATTATATACTGTATATTATACAGATACTGCCAGACATTTTGTTATGTAAGCCAAACTGCTAGTATAGCTGAAAGACTAGCTAAGATAGCTAATTTTTAGCTTCAATTTAGTATTAGTGGCACACAACTTTGGCCCATATCCGAATTTATTGATAAATTTCAATTGCATTTTAAATCTGTTAATTTGATATCAAAATGTAATCTTATTCAAGATAAATGTTTTACTTGTAATTGTTATTATCACTATATCAGTAATATATTTCATATCAACCTACCCTACTACTACTATTACTATATGAAAACCTGATTATACCAAAAAGTATAGCAATATTAGAAAAAAGAAACAGGGAGAAAAATTACATCTTACATTTTTAATTAAACTCTCCAGGAATATTAATATCTATATCGTAATATAGAATGAAATTTACAGTGCTTTAGAAAATTAAGGATTAGTTTTTGATCACAAATTTTACATGCTTAATGGGGCATACTGCAACAAAACCCAGACGATGTGAACATTTTTATTCTGTGACAAGAGTTAACTTGTGGAAAAAAATATACCCTAATGGCCGGTGTTGATGAATTCACACCCTCCATAAAATGCATTGCACAGATTTTCCATTTCCCATATAATGTATTTCACCCTTTCGGCACTATGTGTTACATATGATGTCTAGGATATAAGACAAATGACAAAAGGGTGATGTCATCAGTAATAAATGTTTTATGTTTGGATAAATTTAATATTAATGTCAATGGAAAAGTCATGAATAGTTCATGTCTATGATGCTGTAAATGGTTTAGAAACTGTCTATCCATTTCTGTAGCAACAATAAGATTCCAAAAAGAACAAATGTTAAAGATTCAACATCTTGCTGAACCTTTGAATGATAGACCACAATGAAACAACTCGAAGAACAGGAAAAAGTAAAAGAAAAAATTAGGAGAACGGATCGGATGGAAAAGAGACAAGACATTAATATTGAATATTTGAAGAATGTCGTCTTGAAATTTCTGGAGAGCAGTGCTGGAGCGCGAGATAAGAGAAAAAATATAAGGAAATGGAAAGAGAATATTTAAAGCAAATGGCAAATTCCTCCTCCGCAGTCAAACAATACCCCCTGAGAACTAATTTTTAGAGTAATTTCATTGATCGACCGTGTGACGTTCGGACACAATTTTTCAATGACAGCACAAGTGCAAATAATTTAGCTAAATTAGTCAGTAATGTGGACATTTTTATGGTGACAACAAATTATATAAGCAACCTCTTCCCAACACCTAAAACTCATGTTCGATGTCTGAAGTTTCGATAATTTGAATAATTAACTAATATTTGATACTGAAGTATTAAATAAAGTATTACATTAATCTTGATCATTATCTCAATTTTCTTTCTTTCTATCGTTCAAGATACTAATTGTCATTGCGCCTACGTGACTTGATAGTTTTATCGAATTGTTAGGAGAACTGGACAGTCTGGAGAAAGGACTGAAAAGCCACCATTGACGCTAATTAGAGATTCGGCGAACAATTATGATTATTTGTTGTTTAATTAGGAATAAGTGACATTTTCCGACTGGCAGTCAATATACTAAATCGAAGACAGCCCTTGTTAAATTAGTATTTAAATTTTCCCTTTGATTCTGCGTTATTATGATTGTTGTTGTTATACACGTAATATCGTAGGTACCCTTGCTTAGATACGAGTAAATACGGTTTACATCGTATAGGGAGTGAAAAGACGCGCGCATATAATTAAATATAGTCACTTGTAACTTTAGTCTCAGCCTTAGATAAGCAATAGTTGTAGTAAAGGCAGAGGTACGAGCTAAAGTGTGAAAATCCCCCTCTCAGCAGGGCCACGCAATTTGCTCTTCCATTAAAATTCGAACGCATATATGCTTATACAATCTCAAACGTTGTCTATTATTAATTCACAATTATACATATGTATTAATAATAGCTAGATAAAGACTAAGTGTCATTATGGATCAACATATTGACAAAAAGTAGCAAATTTGATATTGGTGTAAAAGTCAAAACACAAAAACAGCCATTATGGTAAAAGTTTATGACCAAAAAATATTAATTAAATAATTTGTTCTTTTATTAAATCTATTTAAAAAAAATTTTTTTTTATACAGGTTTATCTCAGCTTTCCAAAATTAACCCTGATTGCTTTCGAAATTTTATGTAAACAGAAAATTATTGGCCGTGACTTTCTTTGGCTGAATAAACAGAATGCGGGCCAGCAATGTGACTTGCAGATCTTGCCAAGAGGCTATTATTAGAATAATTAAATTGGATAACTTGATCTGATTTTCCGTGCTATGATGTAAAAGTATCATAACTCATTTCTCCTAACTTTTTTAGAAGTAGATCTAACAAATAATATTAAAACTGATCGAGAACTCTGCAATAACCTTCTAGAAATACATGCAGCGATCTCTGTGATATTTTGAAAACAAAATAAAAACACAAAAAAAGTTAACAAATGCTTGATATATAATGTCCAGAATTGGCGATTATAAAGTGAACATTAAAATTAACAAGTCCATGCACCATTACTTTTTAAAACATCATCAGTCACCCTGGTCAATTTTACAGCCACATCATAATTAGCCTCTCATTTATGTCACATAATAGAATGTTCACTTTGTCTGGTTTTGTTGCAGTCTGCCCCAAATTACGATATGTTTCCTTTGGAATTGCTGCCAGCCATTTTTTCTAATTTATAAATATTATATAGTAAATGGCATGTTTACAAAATTTATTGCATGCAATAATGCTTCCCTTCTGTTCCGAAGTAAGTTCTTTTCTAAGTCTCATAGTAATAGTATGCAGTAATGCGGTAATAATGTTATTGTACTGTTTTAAACTTCTATATTTAAAACTTGATAAAGCTTTCTTTAGTTAGTTTATATTCCTTATGTCCAGATTTTAAGTCCAACTTGCAAATTTTTGCACTAAACAAATCGATTTTTATTTAAAAAAACCAATAATATTACATAATAACATTTGTTAAGAAAGGAATTTGTTGGGCCCGATCACTTTCTTATATCGAGAGCCACTTGTACTAACCCTATATGCTTTTTTATTTTTCTTCTTCCCTTTTTTCTCTTCTCTAATGGGTTTGCTGTGTGATTGGATCCAACAGGACACTTGCGAAGGTGGAACGAGTTTAAGGGACTAATTCAGTGACTACTGATCTGTCCCTGAAGCTGGCTAGAGATAAAAGGCGAGTTTGCTGATAATAATAATGCAATCTTCTTAATCGTAACGTGCAATATTGTATTAAAATGATAATAGTCAAATAAATTGTCTTGTTATAATTAAATTCGGGAAACTGGTTAAATGTGGTTAGGGCTAAACACGCCTTTATTGTATTTATTTCTTGTTATATCGATTACGTCAATCTAGGAAAGAATCCAAGGTGCCGTTCCGCTTCGCATTCATCAATCGATATATTGTTTTTTGCACGGTCAAGTGACCTTTTTGATCACGCAATACAATATAAACGACGATCATTTTTCAAATGTGATATCATCTTCAAATGTTAATGGATGTCATACATATACAACAATAGGTCAGCGCTAAAATCAACAATCACTTTTACACAATGACAAATTTTCACGAGATGAAAAATACCAAGTTGGGGAGAAGGGCGTACAGGTAGTATTATTTACCGAATCTTAGGACATATTGGTTTTTATTAAGACGTTATATTGTGATTTAATTACTCTTACTATTACGTGTTATAACGAATACTTTGAATATGAAATTAGGTATTACCTTATCTCTAAGTAAATTTAGTATTAATATGTAAACGATGATTTAATAGACTCGCTGAACGTGCGTATTAGAAGGGGTAAAAGCTTCCGTTGACGATGGCAGTCTTGGGTGATTCATTAATATTAGTTAAATGTTCTATTGTCTATATAGTTGATCTATCCAAGACAAGACTAAAGACGGTGTTTTACTCCGAGATTATTGAAGCAATGCGGACAGACATGTCTTACATCTGTAAACAAATAACGATATACTGTTACGATACTGGCTCACAATAAAGTATAGGTTTGCTTCGAAAATAATGAAATCTTCTTACCTTTTGTCGCTTTAAGATAGAATGGTACCCAGAATAATATCACCGTTGTGACCAACAGACCCGATGCCAGTAAATATGTGCATACTCCATTGCGATATCTGACGTCTGTCGTTACGAATTGTTTGCAGTGCGGACACTGCACCCTAACGGGAAAATCGGGATACTTGAGGAACGGTGATATTCTGCACGGTGTGGATGTTCCATAGTGGATCGGTTGACAGAGGGGCCCTTGAGTCAACGATGTCATTTGTGATGTTTTAACGCGACAAGAGTATTAAATGTGAAAGAGTCTGAGCGAGTCGAGTCTGTGGCAAACCCACTCTTTATTTATAATAGTATAAATTCCATTGTACTTATTCCCTTGTTATTGTATTCTATTGTATACTTCAAATTGTGCGTTTGTACTACAATCATTACCGAAGGACAATCATTTGTTGAATGAAAAAAGTCTTGGAATAGTTTATATTAATAATTAATATATCAAGCATTAATATGCGAATCGGCGTCCCACGCTTATTGTCGCAATAAGACTATTGAGAGCAAATTCGTCCATTTTACTCACGGTCGAAAAAGCAGTGACGAAGTTATGGATCCCCTCTGCTTATTATTCAATTTATTGCAATTTTGCGAACGTTCGTCTTTGACTATAACATTAGCATTACTGGTTTTTTTTAATTTTGACAAATGGAACTAAAAAGATCCATTATTAGTGTCCACATAATTTGAAACACTCTTGACAATCGATACAGATTAATATGAATGGCGCCATTTATGCTCGCCTCTTCTGCACCCTGCCCTTTGCTACCATCGAAATCTTACTACCTCTTTGTCCCGATTTTTTGTATACGCTAGCTAAAGGCACATAGGCATATGGGTCGGGCTTTCCCTTTCTCTTTACATCTCCGGCAGCCCTCTTGGCTCTATACTCCTTGCCAACTAACATCTTTTTCTCTTTCTTTTTTGCATTCCTAATTGCTATTGCATCTATGGGCTCAACGTCATCCAAATCCACGTCGTTTTTTCTCGTTTTGAATTTTATTTTATTCCCCTGTCCGCGAGTATACGCATTAGTGGATTGCTGAGCTTCGAGGTATCGTTCCTCGACATCCTGCATGGCAACATCTGACGCAACATTGCTAGTAGGATTGTCTTCATTATCGGATTCTGTAATTATCATACGGCCGTCACCCGTCGTTTTAAACGCTGATGACGCTTTGGGTTTCTTGCGAATCGATCGAGGGTTAGTACCCATGATACGCGATACGACACTACGATCAAGGAAATCGACTGGAATGTCTTCTTCCTCTTTGATCCATATTCGGGAAGATGATTTGTCTTTCTTTGATTTGGCGGGTTTGCGTGAAGCAGGTTCATCGATTTCGTCGGCCGAGTCTTCCAAGTCACTCTCACTTCCATATAAAGCATCTTCGTAAGCGCTCGTTAAAGCCTGACGGCGTACTTTCTGTACTTTTTGGCTATCTTTTTCCTCTTCCTCATCCTCCTCCATTTTCATATTCTCGCTATTCTTTTTCCTCTTTGCACGCTCTTTCCTTTTTTTAATGTTGACTAAAAGTTTCTTGTCTTCATCTGGAACACATTTTTCAACGACTTCGTAGCCAAATCGTCTAATCAATCTCTCAATCATATGTCTCACTTTAACTTTAAAGTGGCCTTTGTGTTCGTGAGACCAGGTAAGTATTCCGTTGGTTATTTGCTGAAGATGGGGAGAGAGGAAATCTGTAGACAACGAGACGATAACAACTTTTACAAAACCCAGAGCAGCTTTAACGATTTCCTTGGTAGAACATTGAACAAAATTGTCTATCGTGTCGAGAAGTTTGTGCAACAAGCTAGGATCCAGGTCATCTACGATTACATGGGAGATTAGCTAAAGCTTGATAATTTTTACCCTCTTTGAACAACATTAGTTACCTTTGAATTCGAATATCAACCGAGACAGCGAGGCAATTGTTGCATTTATCATATACGGCGTTGTTGCAGCCAGTCCGGCAACAACCATGGAAAATACAAACTCATCGATAGATGCAGATACTGTAGATGGAGCTATTATATATTTCAAAAACAATTGTAAAAAACTGGGATACCGTAAAAACGTCTTGCAGAGTTAATCATATAGATATATTACCATCTTCAACGATTTCGTCAGCGCCTGCCACTCCTTGCATAACAACAACTCCACCGGCCTTCATCTTATTACCCATGACGACAAGCAAATCATAAGCTGCATTACGAGTTTTCTTTGCTTCTTTTGTCGATAATATGACCTCACTCAACACGCCGGGTATCAAATGCAAATCATTCGACGGTAGTAACTTTACGACTTCATTCAATAGACGCAGTCGGTCCTAATGCGTGCAAACAAAGATAAATCATTTTGACGTAACAACCAACAACCACACATGCTTCGAAAGTGAAATTTTACCTTTTTTGCAGGAGCAGCAGCCACTGCAGTTGTCTCGAGTAGTTTCTCTTGTAGATCATCCAGATTTTGTGTAATGACAATTTTGCCATTCTCTGTCTCTGACATCTTGACAAAGGCTTTGTATAATTTTTTTTGCAACGTTTGGTCCTCTTCAGAAAGTCGGTTTGAAATCAAGTCGTAGAATTGTTTAATGTCTTGCAAATCCAGGTATTCAATCATAGTAATAGCCAAGTCCAACATGACATAGGCTGTTGGTGGTGGCTCGTCTGGTCTTGCTGGAGGCACAGGATCTGCGCATGCTTCAATATATAATTGAATAATTTTACGAAACGTAACGGCAATGTCCTAGATATGGACATAGTATTGAGCTATTGACATGAATTTAATAAAAATTGAATTTTCAAGCATACTTACCTGCGCACCCGTGATGCTCAAATATGTATTGGTTACTTCTAGAATATATTCCCGACTTCCAAGGCATGTTTGACTAAAGACATTAAAGAATACTGCGAGATAATTAGGGGCATATCTTGACAGTAGCTCAATGTTCGCTTTCGCGGCCGCCTTGTCCATTTTGAACTTGTATCTAAGTTTGTCGTCATCTTCTTCGGAATTCAAGAATTTTTTGTTCTTCTCGACTAGTAATTTCAGTGCTTGACATACAGTTGATCGCAGTTCAGGTTGCTTGTACAACATCGTGCTCAACATTTCCGCCGTTTCTTCCGTGAGTGCCTTGTTTTACGCACGACGCGACACACCAAGTCAATATCCGACTTTAAAGATGATATTAATGTATTTATGGGCAATATTTACCTGTGGTAGATCATACGGCAAATTGCAAAAGCCAGGCAAGAGCGACCATACTTGCTGTGTTAAAGTCTCATAAACCTTTGCCTCAATCATGCGATTTTTACTTTGGAATTCAATCGATTTCTGGACAAGTTTTTCGCTCATTGGCAGTAAATTTTGTATAAAATAAGCCAAAGAGGTATTTTGAATATGGTCTCTCAGTAAAGGTAAAAGCCACGCACGACCATCTCCCGTTGATCTTAATAAATACCAATACTCGATCAGCATTAACGCATGGCAGAAAGTCGAACTCCCAAATAACAACTTTACCCAGGATTCTCCAAGTTCAAAGGAAGCACCATCAAAAAATGCTCTGGCTCCACATGTGCGATAGCCGCTCCAAGCGTCTTGTCGGCAACATCCTTTAATCCGAGCGCAGAATCGACTCTCAACTCGGCGATCCTATCCAACAAATGCAGCAATAGTTCTTTGGATGATTTCCCTAGTCGTTCAAACATCACCTTCAATATGTTCAAAATCCCTCCCCATGCAGCTTGATATTTGATCGAAAACCCTTCTTCCACCGTTGCGATAGTTTTTGCCAAAGTAGTGTTTTCACGTTGAATGTTCCATCTAGACAAGGTCTCTTTAATCATTGTGTCTGTTATGCATTCAGACGTCAGTGTTGCGAGACATCGAGAAGCAGCCGTTATTATGACTTGTTTGTCGGATTCGAGAAGTGTAAAAAGTATCAAGAAGAAATCGTGGAAGGATTGTGCACTTGATGATGGGTCGACTCTGAAGTAAATAAAAGTGAAAAAGTCAATACATGACGCCCTCCTGATGCTATATGATTGTTTGAACTTACTTTGAATATATCACATAGCCTCTCGAAACCACTTCTAACCATACAGGAGCTACTTGGACATCTTGGATATTTGGTGTGAGTCTAACCAATGACTGTTTTACGAATTCAAACAGTAAGATTTCTAAAGCGAATACTGAGAACAAATAACAGCAGACATACTTTTATTATATCTTCAATTCCATTGTTGGCAAATCCATCACCATTATTTCTAAAAAGAGCTTCAAAGACTTCAAACGTTGATACAGTAAGAAAGGCATCATTGTATTTGGGTAGGCTCAACAGTGTTTGACAGAGAATCGTAAGACCCTGATGATAAGACGCAGAGTTAGTAATATCCCGCGAGTGGAGAGAAGCTCAAGCCTTACGTACACTTGCGGGCCAATTTCCAGTGATTGCCTTGATAAGCGAAAGTATGTGCATCGCCGATTGTCTATCTGACTTTACAGTGTTTTTCAAGATTCTCAAACAGTATTCTGATGCCATTCCAGCGGCTGGATGGAGAACAGATGATACTGGAGGATGATTTAGAATAACGATTACTGCATCTTGCGCTCTCTTTCGCGGCTAAAATTAAAACAATTTCATCAGAATTGATCAAATTAAAAGACACTGATTGCGCCTAATCAATGCAGCATTGTTTATATAGATAACCTTGGGCCTGCGATCCACAGATAGTAGCAACAAAGATGTAAATGCCTTTCTAGTTAATGAATCATTCCATTTTTGTGCATCTTGGACGAGGAGGAGACTTTCCAGACATCCTGCAACTGATCTGAGCATAGCAGCTTCTATCTCCTTTTCTTCCAAGATTTGTGATAATATTGTCCATATTTCGTTAAATTTATTGCGCGATATTGCTTGCGGCAGCCTGCGTTAAACATCACCCCTGAGTCAGTTTATCAAGACGGGAAATACAGATGATGGAATACGTACTCGGGTAATACCATATTCAAAATGTACAAGATTGGTCCACGCAGCTCTTTGGCCTTTTCGTTTTGTGACGTTTGATCAAGCATTGTCATCTAATAAACGGAAACAAGTCTGAATACATGATTTCAAGCAGAGATGCATGGTTCGATTGATCTTACAAGTGCGCCAAAATATGCAGTCGCTGTGGCGGCAACATTCTGCTCTTTGATTGTCTACAAGATTCGACATTGTTTGTTCTGTTAGTCGAGTCTGATCATCCCAATGATCAGATTATAAGGCGTTTTGAGTACTCACTTGTTCAACGGCCAACAGTAATTGAGCAATCTGTGCAAATGCCTTTCGTCAGTGATTGAATTCTATTAAACACGACAAAATGTCAATGATTACAGACCTGTTTCTGATTATCCAGTTTAGAGTTAATCTGATTACGGATCTTTTCGAATTTTCCCTCCATTATAATGCCCTCAATTGCTAGATCGAAGTAGTTTTAAATAATAAATAAAATGGTTCGTGGAACATGAATTCAAAAAATTTTTATTATAAATCTGCTGATCGGTACATCACGTGCGTAAAAACAAGTCACTTGCAAGCAATTAACCAAATGATTTTGTATACGCATATTTTTCTATTCTACAATACTCTAAATGTTGTCACTATTACTATAATTGCTAGCAATTTTCGCCCTCGGCAATTGCTTTCACATGCTTGGTTTTTTTGTTAAAGCTTGATCAGATCAAATCGCCTTCCCTGACAACGAACAGGGAATGTAGTTCAATGAATTCAATACAATAATAAGATACTGCGATGGCCAATTCTTATCGCAACAGTAGGTTTCTCTTCTTATACGAGACGAATAAGATTCCACCCGTAATCATTAAACGTTTGTCATTATCAACATTGCTATACTTACAATGTATTGTAACTGTAAATTTCTTCTTCACAAATGGACTATTGACAAATGTTTTGCAAGAGCGAAATGCATAGACAAAGGAGTTTTTATTTTGGGAATGCATCAACCTTTGATGAGCTATTTGATTCTAAGATGCCTTCATGTCCCTCAAACATGGTGAAAAGCACCGGAACCCGTCCGATCTCTGCAGTTAAGCCACTGGTGGCCTGCAGTTTTGGCGTTCGAATGGATGCATGCGTTCAATTATCCGTGGAATCGTTCATTTTAACTTTAACCGTGTTGATTATCGTCAAATAAGGACATAATTCAACATAGAAACTGCAGGATTTGATTTGATACGTGGGACACACTAGCCTCAATGGGAGAGACATTTCTCCCCTGACAATTTGTTATTGTGGCCACTCAACCATATTAATACAGCCCACGTATTCGGATTTACTCGAGTCGACAATAAAATGTTCAAAGATAAGAATGAAAAGGTAGCGTCGTGCATTTGATGCAACAATTGTTGCTTTCTCGGCAATAATTCTTTAATTCCTTATATATTTTGTTCTACTTTTTGTTAACTAAGGTATATAGCAATTCAAGATCACCGACCTCATGCAAAAACCCATGTAAAGGAAAAGCTCCACCGCGACTCCCAACACTTGAAGATACTGCCTTTTCGCTTACCGAAAACGGCAATTCACATTTATTAAAACGAGAATACAACGAAGCACTCAAGGCACTCGATAAAGCTCTCGAACTACTGCCAGACTATGCGGCAGCTCTCCAAACACGCGCAGAGGTTTACCGCATGTTGGATCGCTACGAGGAAGCCCTCGCTGATTTCAATCGCGCATTACAGTTCGAACCCAACAGCGTCTTTGCGCTCACTAATCGAGGGGAAGTGTACAGAATGCTACACAAACCACACGAAGCTTTGGAAGACATGAACAGAGCTCTGCAAATACGTCCAGATAATCCTCGTGCTCTAGAGACTCGGGGCGCAGTATATCGGAAACTAGAGCAATACGATAAAGCTCTCGAAGATTTGAGCAAAGTCTTGGATTCTGAACCGAGCAACTCGTTTGCGCTCGGAATAAGAGGATCCGTTTATCGACTGATGGGTGAATACGACGAAGCAATGACAGATCTCGACGAAGCTATAAAAATAGATCCGGAGAATGCGTTTGCACTTGAGAATCGCGGCAATGTCCATCGACTAAACAATCGATATACAGAAGCCCTCGATGATTTTGACAAGGCATTGCAGATAAAGCCGGAAAATGCTTTTGTTCTCAGAGCTAGAGGAGAAACTTATCGCATGCTGTATTGTTATGACAAGGCCATTGCAGACTTGAATCAGGCATTGGAGCTCAGGCCTAACGACGTGGACACTTATGAGGTGCGTGGTGCAGTATACCGAATGCAGGCAAGGTATGTCGAGGCGTTAGATGATATAAACAAGGCACTGGATATTGGTCCTGCCAGTCCGTTTGCCCATTTGATTAGAGCCGAAGTGTATTGGAAGTTGAAAGAACATGACAAGGCAATAGTCGAATTTGCAAAATCTCTCGAGTTAGAACCTACTAACGTCTGGGCATTGTGTTATCGTGGAGAGTTGCATCACGAGCTGGGAAAATTATCCGAGGCGTTGGACGATCTGAATAAAGCCATATCAGTTCCAACAACTGAGTGGTTTCCGCTGGCAGCAAGAGGGGCGATATATAGATCATTGAAGGAATACGACAAGGCTCTTGGCGACTTGAATTTGGCACTAGAAAAGAAGACGGATGATTTGCATGATCTAGAGTATCAGACTAAAGCACATTACCATAGAGGGTGTATCTATAAAGAGACAAGTAGATATACGGAGGCATTAGATGATTTTAATATAGCTTTGGCTCGGGAGTCGGATAATGTTAATGCTTTATTTGAGAGAGGTTCTGTATATTTGGAACTCTATCAGCATAAGAATGCACGTTCCGACTTTGAGATTTTGTTAAAGTTTGATTCGAATCACGCAGACGCAAAAAAACAATTGAACATAATTAATGACATTTTAGACGGAGATTCATGTAAAAATGGTTAATGTTTTAATAGTGAATTATAGATTCAATCGAAATAAAATTTGCTATGTACTATACGTTATTTACATACTATATTGTATAAAATGGGAGAAAGTGAACGTGATGTCATATATAGTTTCAATTCACGCGTGTTCCAACTAAATATCAAGCATCATTAAGCTTACTCTCAATTCAATTCATGACGCCATTAGAATTAGCCACACGTCATTAGCTTGCATTTGTGACCGACGAACGATAAGCGTAACAAAAGTATCATCTATGAGCCTTAGTTTTGCATTTCGCGACTTTGACAACATACAATTAGTATTTTAGCTGTGAATTACTATGTCTGTCGCCTGTTAATAGCAATACACAGGTCGATGCATACAAAGTTCATATTTCATCGTAAGCGTCTGCTATGTTATCACGCAGTCAAACGAAAATGATATAATTACATAATTACGAAATACTATTTCCCGTTTACGTGTTCCAGACCTATCAATTATATACATGGAATTTAATCCGTTTTTATGTATGCCTTTGATATCGTAAGAGTAATTTCGCGTTAAACGACCAATTGCATATCAAGGCCAATTAAAGAGGAGGGCTTTAAAGTATGATTCTTTAGTATCTTGAGTTAAACATGCACACAGAATTTCGCTCTAAAGGATAAAAGATTGTCCAATATTAATATGTGCCAAGATGAGCACATACCAATACTCCGTAGGCAAGATCAGAGTGGTTTGTCGAGTGTAAGAGCGGGACTATTGCCCAAGTAAGCTGTTTGGTCGTTAATTATTAAAAATTTGATAACAAGTCACGTTCCACCTCGATGGTCAGTCGCAATAGAATTTACTGAGTAGTGTATGATTTGATTTAACCATACCATATTAATATAAATACGGTAAATATGAGTATATTATTATTGATTCTTCAACTCGTGTTTGACTAGCATGCCCAACGTATTGACCAAAAATGACAATGCCTTTAAAATGAACTAGCTTAAAACCATTCAATGCTCATATTTAATTTTTTTTTCAATTAGATTCATTTGGTTTCTTCTATAGCTCTCTAAATAATTGTATTTTAAAAAGTGTAACATTGTACTTTTATTTAAATTTCTCTTTTTATTATTATTGGTGGACTTGGGTAGATTAATTTAATATATGCAAGTACAGTTCATATTAATATTAAAAACACGATACTCCACAAAAGTGATAAGCGTCAGATATGATAAGATTGGTTATATATCATAATGCAAACAGTCCAAAAAGCGTAAGAACAACACAGTTACGTCATGTGAAAGACTGAACAGCACATTAATATGGCAGAGAGATCATGCAAATTTATACTTTTAGAGTAAATAACCACTTATACTATTGATGCCCTAAACAAGAAACGAAACCCGACCCAAAACAATGTATTTTTTTTGTCATGGCCTTTTCTGGCTTCCGAGCCAGGAAATGTGACTGAGAAAGCGACAATCTGAAGACGCATGCCGGTAATGCTGTAACGTGCTTAACATGAAGGCTAAAACAGGACCATCCATTGTACTGCTCGATCGTAGAACAGGCAAAAGACCGGAAAGGGTGATTCGATGACGAATTAAGGTATTAACATTTCAACAAGAGCATGTTGTCTACTTAATTGGTAATGAAGGGTGGAAAATTGGGAGGGAGGTAACCTGAAAACTAGGAGTTCTACAAAAACACCTACTTGTTCCTACCACTGTCTGGGGTGTATCATAATAATAAGTAACGGCAATCACAGAAAATCATGGTTACGGCACTGAAATAAGGGGGATGTAAATTGAGTTTGCAAGTTCTGGTATGTTCGCTCGTGTGGGGTATACATTAAACAAGTTTGGTATGGTGTATACTATGCATATATTTTAAGTTTAAGTAGATTATCTACATCATAATCTGTGAGAGAGTCTATGGACATAACTTTCCCATCGTTGTCGCCATCCGATTAGTTAAGATAATTTGCGTGGGTATATTCTAGAAAATTAGGAGTTATATTTAGTATTACTATTAATATCAACCAAACGAGGTTGATTTTTGTAACTGGTTGGTTTTGTCGGCCTTGGCAAAGATGGCGTTTCAACCAATATTAGTATCATTTTACGGTGCGCCAATGATGTTTGGAAGTATCGATATAGTATAACAACCAAATGCTATATATGAAACTGTATATACTCCCCCCTTTTTTACGTCGAATCGAGGGTCGTACACTGCAGTTTTTGTTTCAAAAGGTGAATTCCATTTCCGCGCACTGAATTTCACCTGATTTCAAAATGTGATTCTCATAATATATTGATTTCCGTATTAAACAAATATATCAACTTTGAAAACATTAGGACGTGCATCGTTACATCTAAACTGCTTTTGATGTCTACAAAATGCCTATAAAAGCAAGCTCGATATACAACCCAATTTTTTTCGTTTCAAAAACCCACACCCTCCCATCCCACATCAACCATGAAATACACCGTCTTCACAGCGATTCTCGTCATTCTACTTGCTGTGCTATCTGTCAGTGCTCAGGACACAACGACAGCAACACCAGCAACAACATCATCACCAACTCCAGCCGCAACAAGCTCCCGTAAGTAGTGTGACTTGTGACTTGGAAGAAGCTTATAGAACTGGCGATCGATAGCCGATATCATTGAGTTTTTAATGAGTACTGAATATGTCTCTTATCTTGTATCGTTACAGCCGATCCAATTGCTCAATGTATCGAACAACGGAATTGTGGGACTGATCAAAAGTGTCGTGCCGAATGCGCCGGTGTTCCTGCTCCTAGCGACGCACAGGCCAACGCAACAAATACTTGCGTTATCGGTTGTAGTAGTTGTAAGTAAAGATTTCATCATAACGACATTTTGAACAACACTGTTGTCATGAGTTGCCTTGCGAACGATATAATATTACCCACTAATCTTAACACTCGTCTCGTCTCTCTTCTAAAGCTGCAGCGGACCCTGACGCCTACAAAGCTTGCCAACAGAAATGCATCGATGATAACTATTTCACCTCTACTAATCCAACAGCTGCTGCTACCCCCACGGGTACCGTAGGCGGTGGCTCATCAGCACCTGCGAGTGCATCCAACTCTGCGGCAAGCTCGACTGCTAGCAGCTCTCCTTCGGCCGCACTTTCATTGCATAGAATGGAATCAATTGGAATTAACCTGTTTTCAATTCTAATTTTGGGGATTTGCTTTGCTGCGGGAGCCTGGAGCTTTTGAACATCAATTTCTTTTTAGCATCAAACAACATTATCACACGTATAATTTTTTTTTTTTTTTGAAAAAAAAAAAAAGAACCAATGTATTACTACTAATAGAGACGTCTCTTATTGATTCCTGTGAAATATTAATTCGATAATAAAGAGGTTTTTGGAAACACCAAATTTATCACAAATAATGCCGTATAAAGAACGTATTTGTGATTTGCATCTTACTCATGATACACAAAATTTGGTCGCAGGAAATAAATGATTTATCCATCGTAACAAGGACAATCCTGTTGACTACATTAAGTGAATGAGATGTTCTTACACTTTTTAATTCTTGAAGTATTCTCTATGCTCTCGTCGTCCATATTGTTCATTCACTTGTTCCCCTGAAATATTATATAAACACTTGCGTAACTTTCTAATTAAGAGTAACCCCTGTAACCCCAGCGGAACAATGTTCTATAGAATTTACCACATCCTGGTTGTAAAATTGGTATTACTAGCTATATTATATAAATTCAACATTCTCCAGTCGATGCATTTCCTTTTTGCCTTATTTTAGCTTTCTTTGTGAACTTTAAACAAAGCTTCAACCTTCTTTCACCCCAAATGATCTTTTTTTTTTAGAGTTCATCCCTTATTTATTTGCATTGTTTCATACTATGCTAGATCATGTTCGCCTGATGTCATCTGTGAGTTTGCTGATTACACAACAGCTCTTGATTTCAACATGTTTGTTGTTTAAACAAATGACCCCCTTTTAATGGTCCCACGTACACCAGGCTATTGGCGTTATATCAAACGACCTTTTCCTTATCGAAACGTTAGCTTTTGGCTTAGGATAATCATAGACATACGCTCTGCCTTCGTTTTGCTGTATATTACCGCATTAACAGTTAAAGAATATACTGGCAAATGGAATCCCAAGTATGCGATCCAGTATAAAAAGCCAATTCGGTCACTTATTGTTGTAACTTCGAATTGGGTCATATGAAGTTAGCTGAATCCACAATGTCATTTTAAGGACCAACTTATGAAACTCATGGATAAAGCATTTGAAAGTTGACGTCATTTGGAATTTCCTAATTCGTATTATAAAATACTTGTTCGCATAGCATAGATATGTAAAATAAAATAACAAGTTGTACTTATTATAACGAAATTTTTTGATCCAGATTTAGTGCTTAATACTTATACTCAACATTAAATGAACACATTGTTGTTAACAATATGGAGAATTCCGCCGAAGCGTTAAAGGTTTTTGAAATCATGATGGCAAACTCGGGATCAGAAAAACAGAAGAGTAAAATCTTTTGTCGAAAGAAGGGAGAAAGGCATTGCGAAGAGTCTACTATTTTTGAACGCGAGATATATCACAAGGCAAATTGTTGCAACAATATGTAAATAATGTGTACTTGGCAAGCGAATTCTGCAGTAGCTAATTTTACAATATGGGCAGCATTGATTAAACATACAAGTCTGGGAGTCTAAAACGCAAAAAATGTAAGGGTTGCTGGTTACGTGACTTATTTTCTACTCGCTATGTTAGAGATCTTCTTTGCTGGCCGGTTTAACTACTGTTCATGATTCACGTCCAATTCATCGTGGATAGATATTTGTTGCACACACATAATAGATAATGAAACAAGTATCATCAATCAATGAACCTCTTCTCACTAAACCCAATACTAACATCGAATGTGGAGCAATCTTGACGTAAAGTTTGGCTGTGAACATGACAACATGGTTGAAAATATAGCTGTACAAAGTGTATTGATCAAGTCGGAACTATTAAGATTTGTTTTCGCTTACATGGGATTATCACAAATTTATTAAAAATATCAAGACAATGTTACAATAGCTTTTATGACTAATCAGTCTCCAGTATTTGCCCTCAACATGAACTTGCCATCCGAACATGCTAACTGTCGACATCCTTAAACAGAATTATCGACTGTTCCGTCCGGCTTTTGAAATTTGAGACTGAGACTATTCACACAATGACGCTCATCGGCAGCGGTAAATTTCCATCCTTCACCCTACAATTTTGAACGTTTATGTAAACACAATAATAAACGGGACGTTGGTTGATTTTGAATGTGGGAACTATACCTGAAACACGTGTCCAAGATGACCACCGCAATTGGAACATGTGATCTCGGTTCTGCTCATACCATGCGACTTATCGACGTTACGACTGACGGCATCTGGTTATGTTACAAATATTGTCCACATGTGAGAATCACGTCAATGGATACAAAGCTCTAACAACAGGCAATTGATTATATATACTTGGAAGAGCATCGTAAAATGCAGGCCATCCACATCCTGAGCTAAATTTATGTTCAGATTTGTACAGTTCAGCATCACAGGCACCGCACAAATACGTCCCTTTGGAATATAATAGTATGTATCAGCATCAGACAATTCCAACAATACCTCTTTGGTCAAGACTAGAGACGTACCAGTTGCCTTGTGCTTCTCATACTTTCCAGTCCCCGCTATTTCCGTCCCCTTCTCCCTCAAAATATGATACCTCTCTGGTGATAATTCTTGACGCCATTCTTCCTCTGTCTTCTGGACTGTCGATTGAGTTTGATTGTTATTTGTTGTTTGCGACATGCTCGATGGTTTGTAAATTGATCAAGTGCAAGGTGCAAATTGTCGAGTTGTATAGAGTTGTATCGATCGTTGTTATTGTGTTATAATCGCAAGTTGTGCTGCTACCAGCTGATGAAGCTTTTCGTTATATACTGAATTACGGTCGATGATGGATATTTGTCATCTTGGATTAGTAAGTAATCGTAGATATGAATTCGGGAATCTGTCGATTAATATGGATATCCCTATTGGGCTTGGCAATCTACTTTGTGTTATGATGATCGACATACTGCTGAACGGCACAGTGGAGGACGAAATTACCATTTGTCAACAAAATAACCATTTCTCTCATTTGATTACGGCAGGTGGCAGATTGTGGTATCACCATGCGTCTTCATCATTTCTGGTTTGCAAGAGTGAGACTGCCAGAGCTCAGTGACTTTATCATTCTAAATTGGACATAATCGATTAGTGCGTCTATCCTGTCTAGCTGCGCATGAAATGATTGGACTGAAACATTAAGTCATGGCACGTTTCCCACTTCAAGAATCTGAGCCACAACACGTGACATTCAACCGCAATTGCAGGGAAGCTTGTTTTGGGAAGCTTTTCCATGAGCACGGTAAGTTCACCGAGTGAGATGTTGAACTGTAAGTGACGTATCCTCCGTCCGCGTAAATTAATTAAATGTCAACGTATACAGTAGAAAAAATTTGACAATTCTGGTCTGTTCTAAATGCGAAGATTATTAGATTCATGTTTTCATTTACAAAATTGACATATTTGTGAATTTTAGTCTGTAGTCCAAGAGACAATTAAGATTGTGAATATGCCAGCTCCGAAAATGATCTCGAGATGGGAATCAGCACCAGCTATCTGCGCGAATACCGAAAGATCTATCCTACATCGCCATGCCAAATGCTGAACCATTGATTTAATACTTGTAGTGCGGCTATGTAGATCTTTTACATCGAACAGAAATACTCTTTGTTTAGGTTGAATCAATCGACTGAATATGAAGGCTGGCAGAACTGAACGGTTAAATCTCATCAATTTGAGAACGAGAATTAGTTCGACTTTATACAAGTGGGTCTCGATATAACGACCCGCTCGGTTCCAACCAACCCAAATGGTCACTATATCGAGAATTCGACAACTAAAGCAATATAGATTTATTGCTCTACGATTTCTGTCGTTATAACAAGATGTCATTATATCGAGATTCACTTGTATTCATATTAAACATTTTAGCTGCGTCGAAAGCAATAAAGATTTGTATAAGTGCTTTTACATAAATTAACCATAGTGAATAACGCGTAAATATATTGGTCGCAAAAATTATACCGAAATGTTCTATTCCAACTATACCAGATTATTGATGGGCTCCACTCGTTATTAAGGTAATCGATTAGTGCGCCCATGTTTTTAATCTAGCGGAAAGTCCAACTACGTAAGCAAACTATGTATCTAAAACTGTTGCGCTCGCGATACGGTCATTTTTAGCATCGTTACCACCGCAACTAATTATCTAAACATTCGTGTAAGTTGTCACCGCAATATTTGTCGTTGCGTATGCGGTACTGCGTAAAACATTGGAATAGAGAGAGAAATATACGCCATCAACATCTACTTCACATCTGTCAACGTCCTTTCGCTGCATGCATATTCAACTGCATTTATGTGATGCTGTTGCCATTAATAGTAAAATTGCTGAATTAAAAAAGAATAGGTTGCATTACAGACCATATATAGAGTCATTAAACTATTATTATTTTTAACGTTATAAAATGCCGTTATGCCTTCAAGTCATTTAAAATTATTGGCGACTAGGCGATAATGTAGACGCGATCTCCATCGTCACGATATGATTATGGAAACACAAAATAAAAATAACCTAACCCAGCTTTTAATAAAAGGATTGGAATACAAAGTTCTTTTAAGTTGCTTTGTATGAAGGAAATATGTCAGATAGTATCGATGTGTGTAGAGAGCAAGAAATTACTATTGTCGTTGACGTCACACGAATAAGAAATGCTGTACACTTGTGTGAAACGTAGCCATGATGGTTAACGGAGTAATCGGAGTAATCGGAGTAATGATACTGCTATATAAGCTTCGCTTTGCAATCCATTTATCAAAATGTTCGGCAAAATGTTTCCAATGCTTAGTGGAGAAGTAAAAAAAGAGCCGCCTCTCAAAATTGACCGAGTTGAACAATCAGCGATAGTGCAATTATTAACAAAGCAGAGACCAGAGGCGATACCGGCCCCAAACAAACCCATCACGGTTGCTATCATTGGAGCTGGAATGAGGTATCATAGTTGGTCGTCCGAATCAAAGACAACTAAGAAGATAATTTCCCATTGATACTTTAAATATATTGCGCAGAGGGAAAGGTTACGCGTATTATGCTTTGGAGAATCGTAAATGGATGCGGGTGGTCGCAGTAGCTGAGCCCGTGAATGCTCGTAGACAACGTCTGGCAGAGGTTTAAAATTAATTACAATTGCATGATTATTTTTATTAAATTAGCGTTCATCTTGCTAATAACATAAATATTTCAGGATCATCATATTCCCAACGAACACGTCTTCGAAGATTGGAGAGAGGTTGGATGTTATAATGCTGACTGTACCGCAGATTGTCTGGTTTAATAATTGTTTATTGTTTGATCCAGTTGGCAAGGCTCCCGAAATTTTGTGATGCCGTTGTTATCTGCACTCTGGATAGTCAGCATTTCGAACCAGCCATCGCCTTTGCAGATTTAAAATATCATATTCTTCTTGAAAAACCAATGGCACCTAGTCTGCAAGAATGTTATGAAATCACGAGAGCTGCTTTGAGAAATCAAGTAATAATAAGCATCGAGATCTTTTGTTGACCACTTGCTCAAATAATTGTTCTGACGTGCCATTAATACTATGATGATTGTAGGTTGTATTCACTATTGGTAAGTCTATCTTATATTACAACAATACGATAATTAATACAATTGATTCACAAATAATTTTGAATTCACAAATAGCTCATGTGCTCAGATATACGGCACATAACCGGGTAATAAACCAGATGATCGATTCTGGCGTATTAGGGGATATCATCAATATCCAACATGTGGAGCCAGTTGGATTTTGGCATTTTGCACACTCTGTAAGTTATTCAAGCGAGTAGGCTTGCGCTGCTTCGTAATTGGTTTGGGCAATAATGCACTCTTTTTCCATCATAGTACGTTAGGGGCAACTGGAGGAAGGAGAGCGAGTCCAGTTTCTCATTAATGACAAAGTCATGCCATGATATTGGTATGTCCTCACATTCAAGAAATCCGAGATAACCTATTTCAGTATATCACTATAACTAACGTTGGTTATCACTTGTTTAGATCTAATCGCTCAGTGGATGCATTCGCCATGTGTGGTACGTAAACGTCTTTATCGTCGTACATCAACTCTCGTAGTTCCACTAACCGATGGCATTTATCTCAGCGAATAAGCTCTTTTGGCAATCTCACTCACTTTAAACGGGAAAACAAACCCGAGGAAGCTGGAAAAGCAACGTAAGCTCCCGTCACACCTCACTTTGTGTCAGTTAGATAATCCTCATTATACCTAACTGCCCTTTAGTCGATGCCTAGAGTGCGCACATGAAAAGAATTGTCAATATTCAGCGAAATCCATCTACTTGGATCCTGCATCAAGGGGCCAAAAAATGTGGCCAATTTCGGTTCTTGCTGACGTTGTTGGTAAGCTATATCGTAGTTTTTGTTTCCTTTTTCATACAAATATCATTTAATAACATTCGATTTTGTAGACATTGAAAGTGTGGATAAAGCGCTTCGTGAAGGTCCATATGGCCGCTGTGTTTACGAATGTGATAATGATGTAGTTGATCATCAGGTTGTTAACATGGAGTTTGCCAGCGGCGCAACTGCATCTTGTACTATGGTTGCATTCACAAAGTCTGTATGCGTTCGAGAGACAAAGTAAGTTATATAACACCAAGCATGTATGGTAGCATTAGTCTGTTAATAACTAACAAATGCTGTTGTAGAATATTCGGCACTAAAGGCCAACTTGACTGTGATGGTATGGATAGCATTCGGTTCGATGATTTCGTAACCGGTACTCGCGAAGTCTTAACGCCAAGCAAAATTACTGGAATGTTTGATATGCGAGGACATGGTGAGTATGTTATGATAATCATCATGTTTACTGTACCCGAAACTGAGTGAAAAAAATTGTTTGCCACACGGAATTATAGGTGGAGGTGATATTGCCCTAGTTGAGGCCTTTCTAAAGGAGATCGCGACAGTATCTACACGTGATGGTGCCACTGAAGCATTCAGTAAGTATGAACAAATGAAATTAAATAAAAGGTTTCGCGTAATGGATTTATTTATACTCGGCGTTATGACGACATGCTGACGTGTCATTTCGTTGAACTATTTAGATTCGCATCTGTATGTATTTGCTGCTGAGCACGCAAGAAGAACGGGGCAAGTTGTGAATATTGAACAATTCAAACAACAGCATCAAATTAATATATAATTTATATATAAATGCTGATCTGTGTTCATTATGAACGTGGTAAAGTTTATTACAAATGAATTTACATCTCCAAATATGCGTAAAATATAATTTAAACTATAAACATAGGATTTCAAACCATGCAACTCTAACAAATCCAAAATTTTGTCTAAAATCATACATCCACACTACTTTCTGCTTGTTATTCGTCTATCATATCTTCCTGGCTCCCTTCCACATCTTGCACATCTTGCCCATCTTGCCCATCATTATCTTCCATCATCTCCCTGGTGGGAATAGTTTCCCCTTTAGTAGTGTCAATTATACCAGGCTCAACTCTCAGTACCTCACTCTGATTACAAATCTCCAGTATCTTTTCGGCCTCAGACACTGGCAGACTTCCAAGAACCTTGTTGATCTTTTCTAATTCACCTGTCTTGAGCGCTTCACGCATATCTTCAGACAAGGTCATGAAATTTCTAAATCGTGATACCTCGGCTGGATCGTCAGAATTTTCGTCTGGTATGTGAACACTGAGAGTATTGCCAGGACCTGTCATTTCTATTTGGATTTGTTCGACTTGTGGCTGGCTCTCCTTTTCCTTCTCGATTACTTCACAGCGCTTACAGATATGCTCATAAGTATCCTTAACATCTTTTTCAAATACTTCACGGGCACTTTCCATTGTCGTTATTCTGACGAGATATTTAGAGCGCGTTAATTTATACACTTGTTGGCATATTTTCGTAAATGTTCGATATTCATGACTAACCTCCTGAAGAACAGTCTTACACCATCCGGACCTAGTTTTTGGCAGTATTGAATGAGCCAACCTTGATGTACGCACTGTTTAGCATACTTTGTCTTTTTCTTTAGCTGAGCCTGGAACGCTTCTGCAAGCAATTGGTCGACAGCTTCCTGATTAATGATCTCTGGATTATCTGAAATAAACTTGTAGCTTTCATCATAACCTTTGGCCTTTGCAAACGCTTTGGTAAGGTCTGACGGGATCATTCCTTCATCGTCATCAGCAACCTCTTCCGTCGAACTAACTGTTGAAGATGCTGGTTTCGAGCTGGGAGACTTGGTCTAGCGAAAATAATATAGTCGAGAGCGCCCATCAAACAATTGACGATAGCGATAATAATCAAATTGATACACATTGCGATCAGCATAATCTTACCTTTGTAGGCTTCGTTACTGCTTCTGAGCTAGACTTGTTGGCAGCCCTTTCAGAATTTGTCGACACGGATGCCGTCTTATGTGGGTCCGTTTTGGTAGCCTTGCTCACTCTCTACAGCAATGTTCGAAAATATCAGTACAAACTCCCAGACTAGCCACATAAGTATCGTATTGTGTTTATCCAACAATTGACCCACCGTATTGTCAAATCCAGTGTGTATGTCGTCCATAGTAATTTTTCTATGAGCCTCTGTTTCTTCCTTCTCCCATTCCAGTTTGACCTCCTTGGTCCTCGCTGCTAATTTCTCCCTATGTTCCTTTAGTTTGCTTACCAACTGTTCTCCAACTTTCTCTTCACTCTCGTGTTCGACTTCCGCTTTAATCTTTTCGCAAAGTACCGCCATCATCTCATCAAAGGACGGCATCCTCTCTTCAGTCCCCTGGGTCTCGCGCTGAGCCTCCTGTTCAGCAGTTTTCTTGTTCATCTCACGCAAATCTTCAACAGTTTTCAGGAATGCAGAAACGCCATCTGATTCAACCTGCGAAATCATTGCGCTAATTCGATCAAGAAGAACATCATTTTGAGCAATTTCGGCTTGGAGAGCGGCAATCTTTTGTTTACGCTCCTCTCGTTTCCGGTGAATGTCTGCTTGTTTCCAGCGAATGAGGGATGCTTTATCGACGTTGGGATGACACTCAAAGTCATCGTCGTCGGAAAGCTCGAGCCTATCCCATTTACTGTAATCAATCGGCATTTCGTTTATTTGTGAAATGTAGATAAATATAGTATCTTCGGGCGTGCTTATAGGTGTTTCGACACTTTCTTTGGCAGTTAAAGCAACAATCGCAGGCCGGAGATTTATCTGTGCGAAATAATGTTGATCACTTACTTAATTGGGACAATTAAAATCGAGAAGGTTCTGCAGCTTTCTGGACATGAGATTCGATCACGCCACAAAAGAATATAAATTAGTTGCTCACAAGAATTCATCCACAGTTGTGACTATGACTCGAAGTAAACAATCACCAGCTGCTATGAGACACGACAGGCATTATCAAAGGTAGAACTGTGGGTTGATTTGCGTGGGTAGATGGATAAGGCGCTTCATAGGGTACGAGCTTTTAATGATATATTGGTAGCGATAACGATTTGTAACATGTATTGATATAGGTCTCCACTCGGCGACTTGCGAGGAATACCAAAGAAAGTATGTCGTGATCGCGTTCGTTTTTGATGCTTTGTTTCATACTTATTAATCAAATATCCTGAATTCGCTTTCTTTTCGACAACTACTATAGGAAGGAGCCGGTCAATACAATTGGGGCAATGTAACTGTAGAGGCCGCCACTGAATTAGATGAACATTATGAACTTATGGATAACTTCCCAAAATATGATTTGGAGAAGGATGCTGAGACAGAAACAGATCGACGGTCCAGCAAAGTAGAAGTAAGTTGTTGTCTAATATTTTCACTTTTCCTGCCCTTTAGTTAGGATTAGGGTTACACCATTTTATTGTATAACATACTTAAAGACTATCTGCTTGACAGGTTGTTGATTCCAATCGATTTGAGGAATTGCGAGCAGCTACGGCTGAGGAACAAGAAGTTCAAAAGTGAATGTGGGAGTTTATTAATCAGATACAGAATCTCGGTTTGGAGTGTATATGTGTCTGAAATTACGATTGAGAAACTAGACCGAATCGGTTATTGAATCGTTTGGTCTCACTGAGCACACCACAGCTAATGCATTTAGATTTCGGTGACCTTCTTTCAGACTGTTTAAGAAGACTTTAATGTCAATTATTTGTAAATTGTTTACAAATACCATTACTAATAAAGAGTAACATTCAGTTCGAACAACTATATCGACTTTCTGGCGCTTAGTAATTACCCTTGATTGCAATTGTGAACGTATTATATCGACTTTCTGGCGCGCTTAGTAATTACCCTTGATTGCAATTGTGAACGTAATATTTCCTAAATAACGAAACCAATCGGGTCATATTTTGTGGCAATGGCTCTCGCGGGCGTGATAAAGGCACGGCTAACAAACCGCATTTTGCTCGGTAAATTGTTATTGGTAGTCTTTGGCAAAAGGATTGGTAAGAATACGAATCAAGAGCAGACACCTTTCGCCAAGTTAATCGATATAATCATTATGACGTTACGCACATTCGCTGACGTCATCGATATCTTACTTATTAATACTAATACTAATGACTGCCTCCGCCATCATAGTTATCATTATCCACTATGTCAGAGAAACTTCCATACGCTATTGAAGCCGACGTTCCACTTGGAAATGCCGAGTTAGAAGTAAGTGCGTTCGTAGTAATTCTATTCTCGTTTGAAGGCTAATAATGTGGTAGGAGCACTGAGCAGTCAGTGAATGGTGGATAATAAAGTTACTGTTTTTGACTCTCACTTTTGAATTGTGATCTGAAAACACGCAGGTATTGAAAGGACGTTATCAGAAAGAACTTCCGGAGGTAACGACTCAAACAAAATTCAACTATGCCTGGGGGTTAGTTCGAAGCCGAAGGCAAACTTGCAATAAAGAGGGCATTAAACTTTTCTATGGTATGTTTGGTTAGTCACAGTTAAATAGGTTTCACCACATAATGAGCTTTAATAAGCGAGAGAGCCAACGTTAGCATACTCAAACCTGACGGTGAGTCACATCATTTGTTAGAGATATATAACGAGTCACGAGAGCGACGACGAGAATGTCTATACTATCTAGCCCTTGGTCACTATAAAGTGGGAGAATATCGAAAAGCGAAAGAGCATAATAATCAGTTGCTTCAACTTGAACCTAACAATCAGCAAGCTTTAAGTCTAGCAGAAGTAATAGACGAGAAAGTGAATCGAGGTAGAACATTCTCTTTTAATACGTTGTTTCTGTATTTAGATAGTGACATTGTTATTCCCTGCTAGCAACGTATTGTCAGACTTCTAACAATTTCTTCGTTTATTTCAATAGAAGGAATAATTGGAGCTGCTATAACAGGAGTTTTAGTAGCACTTGGTGCTTTAGTCGTCGGTATAATAGCTAAAAGAAAAACGTTGATGTGAACAAAATTCCTTGCGATAGTTGGCCAAGAGAACGTAAAACCTTATTTACGATAGTCAGCGTGAGATTCTGTGATCGGTTAAAAGGCTGTATCTGTATATAGAAGCTTCGCTCACGATGTGGAAAACAATATCAATAAATTGATCTTTATTCCTACAGTTTAACTTTTATCACGTGACCATTAGACTATTTGTAGCACTAAATAATCAATAATTGTTCCCTGAATGTCGTTGACAAAAACTGCGAAAAATGCTTGACCTTAACCTGTTTCAAGTCGAAAAAGGAGGAAACCCTGAGCTTATCCGCGAGTCCCAGCGCAGAAGGGGTGCTTCTGTTGAACTGGTTGATAAAATTATTGCTTTATACGATGAATGGAGAAGAGGTCAGTTTTATTATTCAAAACCCACTATACTTGCGCGACTTTGAAAAAGAAAGTCTGATCGATTACAATATGGTTCAGCGCTAACATAATTTTTATATATTTGCTACCGCTGTGTTCAGTTCGATTTGATCTTGACCAAGTAAACAAAGCGATAAACGCTATTCAAAAAGATATTGGCAAGAAAATGAAGGTGACTGAAAAAAGCAACTTCCGAAGGATGAAATATATACTTGACACGTAGTAATTGTCAAAAGCTTTATTAGCCTATGTCTTCACTCGAATTGTATCTACAATTTATTTCACATATTTTAACCAAAGGCAAAAGAGAATGCCTCAGATCTCATCTCACAGAAGGAGGCAAAAACAAAAGAGAAAGAGCGATTGATGGCTCTTGAAAAAGAAAAGGAAGAGATACTGAAATCTGAAGCATCCGCTATTGGTAATATTGTCCATCAGTCAGTTCCCACTTCAATGGATGAGGAAAATAACGAGATTGTTAAGACATGGGAACCAGCCGACCAGGAAGGAGAACATGTAAATAAACCTGTGAAGAAGGATGACATATTATCCCATCATGATGTTTTACATAGGATTGATGGTTATGACGCCGAAAGGGGTATGTAAAATTGGCACTATTTTGCAAGTATAAGAATTGACCACGACAATACGGTCATTATGGTCGTGTTAATTGTTATCGAATTCTCATGTTTGTTGTATAGTTCTAATGAATAATCTACAATGTATCAATAGGCACGAAAATATCTGGACATCGTGGTTATTTTCTTACAAATGAAGGTGTTGATTTTAACTTGGCACTTATACAGTACGGTCTTTCTTTCTTGAGAAAGAAAGGATACATGAAGCTACAGACACCTTTTTTTATGAGAAAAGAATGCATGGCAAAGACAGCTCAATTAGAGCAGTTTGATGAAGAGCTGTATAAGGTATTGATGGGGGTAATCTGATAGATGTCATTTATAAAGCTTACTTTTACAACTGGGTAAATAATACAGGTAGTTGGAGATGGTGATGATAAATATTTGATTGCCACTTCAGAACAACCGATATCGGCTTTCCATGCCAATGAATGGTTTGAAAGACCTTCCGAACAGTTACCAATAAGGTACACAGTTTGTATACTGAGCACTATTCTTTTTCTCTCGGAAATCATATTTCTCTCAATCAATATATATAAATACCTTGATTTCTTCTTACAAATTGTCTTACGCTTTGATTTTCAAAGATATGCGGGTTACTCAACATGTTTCCGCAAGGAAGCTGGAGCCCATGGCAAAGACACCTGGGGTATCTTCCGTGTACATCAATTTGAAAAAATAGAACAGTTCGTTCTTACCACACCTGAAACCTCATGGGATGAATTTGATCGTATGATTTCCAACTCGGAGGAGTTTTATCAATCACTCGGCCTGCCTTATCGTATTGTCTCTATTGTCTCTGGTTCACTGAATAATGCTGCAGCAAAGAAATATGATCTTGAGGCATGGTTCCCATTCCAAGGAGAGTATAAGGAACTAGTCAGTTGCAGCAATTGTACTGATTATCAAAGCAGGAGGTTGGAGATACGTTGTGGTACAAAGAAGATGGGGGATAGAGAGAAGAAATATGTGCATTGTTTAAATGCTACACTTTGTGCTACTGAAAGGACTTTGTGTTGTCTTTTGGAGAACTGGCAGACTCCTGAGGTGAATATTTACATTAGATGATAATTGTTTGGGGCCAACGACTAATTTTTTTATTTAAATAATTCAGGGTGTTATCATACCGGAACCTTTGAGGCCATACATGGATGGAAGGGATTTCTTACCTTTTGTTAAGCCATTGTCTAAGAAAAAGTGAAAATTCACAGCTTTAAATAAATTAATCTCTGATTAGATTATGAAATACACACCATGGTGGTGACGGTAATGTGACGAGGATTAACATGGTTATGATCACCACTGTGTTATTGTTAATACGAAAACTTGCTTCGCCTTCTATTTGAAAACAAAACGCATATTTATAAGAAATAGCGAATGAAATATATGATACTCAAATTCAAAAGAATTCGCAACAAATTGCATTGGATCCTAAAATCGAATCAATAGTTAGAGAAGCGAGCATTTTTCATGATCCGGATAACCATATCGTTCAATGGCCGAATACAGCATTGGATGAAAGCAAGTCGAGGGAATTTGAAGGAAGCAACCAGACTTGTTGTTCACCAACTCAAAAAACTAATGTTTATAAAAACTGCAATGATCTGATTCGACTCTGTGTATTTCTGAAAGACTGCGTTGATTTTTCCATAGACAAGAGAGCTGAATCAATGTACAGTAAACCCTCCATAAATGCAACCCCCATAAGTGCTAAATGCAACATTTTGCTCGGTCGGATAAATGCCCTCCCGTGTTCTGCAATTGCAACAGATTCGTTCTAGTAGTAATAGATTTATTTCCCTAAGTGCAACTCACGTGATTCACGTAATGTCATTTTTTTATTGGTCGGTTCGATTACCCGCCGACAAATGAAAGGTATACTAATACAGTCAACCTCCCCTACAGTCACCTCCTATATAGTCACACCTCCTATACAGTCACAGGCTGCTCCGGTCCCAGTCATTTTCAACTTAAGTTGTCATTTTCATAGTGATTTACCTTCTTTACAGTCACAATCATATTATAGTCTTGTTCAATTATATTATATCCATTGATTTGAGACTAATATGCAAAACACGTTCATAATTTAAGATTTAGTAGCAG